GAAACCAAATTTGGTTGCCCTAGCTCTTATAGTCTCTGAGATCTACGCGCTCAACAAGACGGACAGACAGACAGACAGGCAGACAGACGGACAAACGGACATTTAGACATGGCTAGAATATATATACTTTATGGGGTCGGAAACGTTTCCTTCTCTGCGTTACACACATCCACTTTTACCACAAATCTATACCCCTTAACTCTTTTTTGAGTACGGGTATAATGATGTTGGCTATGAACAAAATAGATACAGAAAAATTGAAAGAGAAGAGACTTGCGAGATCGGGCTCGCATTCAGTGCTTCTCCGATCCGAATCAATTTTTGCGTGCTTTCTCGGAGATTCGCCTTCCGGAGCGTATGCAGCATACCACATCATCACGGGGCCTGGCAAATTCTTCGGCGACCAAGGATCCTTGCGCCAGCTGCAACTCGCGAGATCATTTTGCCAAGAACTGCGTGCTACGCCTGTGGAGCATTTGGACATCTGGTCGGACAATGCCCAGAGAGAAAGTGCGTAACATACAACAATTATGTAAGATACTTTAAGATTTTATTTTGCAACAATGTCGTAACATCATTAATTTCAGCGTGCCTCATAGACTCTGGCAGCCCCATATCGATCATCAAGAAAAGTTTAATTACTAGAGAATTTAGCTTAGAACCAGTTTTGGAATTATATTTTGGGCTAAATAAAAGCCAATTGAAAACATTTGGAAAAATTGTATGTTATGTTTTGAAAGGAAGAAAAAAATGTTATTTTTATTTGAACGTTGTGTCGAACGAGTCTATGAGTCATGGTGTGGTTCTTGGCAGAAATTTTATGAATGCATGCGAGTTAAACTTGGACTTAAGTACTTAGATGGTTACATTAGACGCTGTGAATTCGAAAGCCGAATTCAGCAATGCCGATCGAAAATGATAAAATGCAAATTAAAACGGTTGGAAAACATACTAGTATAATAAGTAGTGCAAAGATTAGAGAAAATTTCGATAAAATAGTTAGAGAAGAGGTAATTAAAATAGATAATAATAATGAAATTGATAGTGATACCGTTAGTGAAGAAGTTAATGAAATTGTTAGTAATACTGATAGTGAAGAAGATAATGAAATTGTTAGTAACACTGTTAGTGCGGAAGTTAGTGTTATTGTTAGTGATACTATTAGTAAAGAGGTAAACGAAATTGTTAATGAAACCATTGAGTAACGTTGTAGGAGTAACTAATGAAGTAATTGATGAAGATTTAAGCGATTCTACCAGACCAAAAAATTTTAAAAAGAAAACAGTTAGTTTGATAAAAAACGATGCGACGGTTGTGAATGAAATCCTTAGCAGCAAAGCTGATGATGACATATACAATGAAAGTATCGTTTCAGACATTTTTAATATCAATTATATGGAAGATGAAAAAGTTGATTACATCTGCGGGGAAAATATAATTCATAGGCTTAAGTGTCAACTAAGGCAAAAAATCGAAGACTATTATGTAAAGACGGTTAAACCAAAAGAGATATCAAAACTTTTTAGTTGTGCTCCAAGGCGACTGTCATATACCGAGAAAGATAAATTGCAGCATTTACTAAATGAATATTTAGGAAAATAAATAATTCGACCTAGCGATTCTGAATACGCTTCACCTATCGTACTAGTTAAAAAGAAACGGGGGATTTAAGGTTATGTATAGATTTTAGAAAACTTAACAAGACTTTGTAAGGACAACTATCCCATACCCCTCGTCGATGATCTGCTGGACAAATTATTCAACAAAAGGGTCTTTACGATACTCGATCTCAAAAATAGTTATTTTCATGTATTTGTTAATGAGGAATCGATTAGGTATACATCGTTCGTGACACCCTTAGGACAATTTGAGTTCCTTAGAATGCCACAGGGCCTCAAAACAGCATCAGCAGTGTTTCAAAGGCTTGTTAATAAAATATTCGATGATTTAATTAGGGATGACAAAGCTATTGTATATATGGACGACATCATTGTAGCCAGCAAAAATACACAAGAACACTTAGAAACGCTGAAAGAAGTTTTTATTATATTAGCTCAAAACAAATTATAATTGCGTATAGACAAATGTGAGTTTTTACAATCTAATATCAAATATTTGGGGTTTACAATCAACGTACAAGGTATAAAAGCAGACGAGAAAGGATTAGAAGCAATCAAAAACTTTCCAATCCAAGATAAGGTACAGGTTGTGCAAAGTTTTCTTGGCTTATGCTCCTATTTCAGGAGATTTATAAAAGATTTCTCAACTGTTGCCAAACCTCTTTACGCTCTTCTGAGAAAAAGATACAGAGTTAAGCCCGTGTATTGCTAGAAAGGCTTCAGAGCTGCAAAGTTATGACTATGAGTTGAGCCATAAAGAAGGCAGCAGGATGCAGCACATAGATGCGCTAAGTAGATGCACAAACATTCTCATTGTAGAAACAAACACATTTGAAGACAACTTAGTTGTTTGCCAAGCCAAGGACCAAATAGATAGAAATATCAAGCAACAGTAAGAAGAAAATGAACACAAGCTTTTCGAAATGAGAAATGGTGGAGTTTATAGGAAAAGTAATGACGGAAGATTTTTATTCCATGTTCCAAGCGAAATGGAAGACCACGTGTTATACAAATATCATAGCGAAATAGGACACATAGGCAGAGACAAAATGATGAATATAATAGGCAAAAGCTATTGGTTTATAAAAAATGTAAAAGAAAAATCCGGTCATATTGAAAATTGTTTGAAATGCGTAGCGTTTTCGCCTAAAACTAAAACTAATCCACATCGATCATTACGGTCCGGTTGATTCAGGAATTTGGTTGCCCTAGCTCTTAAAGTCTCTGAGATCTAGTCGCTCAACAAGACGGACAGACAGACAGAAAGACAGACAGAAAGACATGGCTATATCGACTCGGCTATTGATGCTCATCAAGAATATATATACTTTATGGGGTCGGAAACGTTTCCTTCTCTGCGTTTCACACATCCACTTTAAAAAAAACCCCCCTTTTTTTGGGGAGGGGAAAAAAAAGGGAGCTGGGGGGGCCCCCCCCCACCAAAAATTCAAAAACCACCTTTGTTGAGAGTAGCAGCAGCGAGTTGGCAGGGGGCTGTTGTTAACAGCCGGAGCGCGCTCTCTCTTGCCTGGCGCTAGCGAGTTGGCGGGCAGCCAGCTCACTAAGCGGGAGTTTAGTATGCTACCCACCCCCGTACATTCCGGTACGCGTCGATACATAGAATCGTTTTATATTCACACCCACATACATACACACATACAATCAAACAACCGCGCCGTTTCGAGTGCCCAATAAACCAATTTGTTAACGATCATACTGTGCCTATTCATTGCGGGACACTTTGGATCTGCTGAGGGCTTATCTGCAGCACTAGGAAGCGCCCTACTACAAACATTGGTCCTTCGAGCCGGATTCTTGCTGGCGTTCCGCACTATTCACGTCCGAGTGTCCACTTATCCATATGTACATATATTCTTATGTACATATTGTCCGATCTCACTAACACTTTCCGTTAGCTATTAGCAATTATCCGCTACACAGCCACAATAACGGCGTCCGACACGTATGTATATATGCATGTGCATATGTTGTGCCTGATTCGCACACACATACCCCGCCCCCAATAAAACACTCATCCGAAGTAATTTATTGGCGTTGTTTATTGTATTTATTGTTTATTGTGTATATCGAATTGTATATTCTTACAATCTTATTTTCACTCAATACTTCTCATAAATAATAAACCTCATTAATCCCGGTGAGAAAATACCTAAAAAAAAATACCGATTACTCCACATCTACATACCACACTTAGTATATGTAGGCACGAACGCGTTCGTCCGATACGCGGTACCAGCACTCCGCTGCTTATGCAAATTTCGCAATTACCAAGAATTTAAGCATTCCAGGCGCCCCTAAAGTGACCCACAGCCCGAGCAATTTCCCCCACATCCGGGATAAATTCATCCAACAAGAGGCACAGCTCATTTCCGCAGTCTTTTTTGCATTTTTCCGCGCCAAATTCCAAATTGCAAAAAAACTAGAGGTGACAAACCAAAAAAAAAAAACCTAGTGGTGGCAAAAATAAAAATATCGCTCACGGGCCTCGTATCCATCGAGTAGTTAATATTTTTTCGCAAATCACCTTGTCCATCGCCCACTACGACTAAATCCATTCCAGTACCGATATTTAAACATATCGTAGTCTAGTGCGGATCCCGATTGTGATTCTTTTGTGCGCCAAAACCGCGGGGAACAAGAAAAATATCCTTTTTTCTTGCGTCATATCATCCGATAGTTTTCCCGAACACTTCCGTTTTCGCTCTAAGATCGTCTTACACATCACCCACTACGACGAAATAAAATCCAATACCGATATATCAAATATCGTAGTCTAGTGCTGATTCCGTTTTCGACTTTTTCGTGCATTAAAACCACTGCCAATAAGAAAATATCAATTTTCTTGAGGAATATCGTCCGATAGTCGTGCTCGACAGGAAAACAATTCCTTGTTGTTCTGCCTCTGGTGTGGTGTCCATTTCCGCTTTATCCGCACAGTCCTCATTTGGCGTTCATTTGTGCTTCCGCGTGCGGTCCTTCTTAGTATGCCAACAGGTGTGGAAGACAACAAGAAGTTTTTGGCGGTGCCTACGCCTGGTAGATCAAGGCCATCTAGCTCATCCGTGCCATCAACGCCGACCTCGGGGACTCAAAGGGCAAGGTCCTTAGGTACTCCAAGGGCTTCCACGAGTGCCACGGCGGCGACGACCAAATCGGTGCTGTTTCCTTCGCCGATCACGACTAAGGTGCTTTCGCCTCCATACCCGCAACTAGTCGATCCTCGCTCCACACTTCCAATGGCACAGCCGATTGTCACCTCCGCACGGGCCAAGTTTGTGGCAGCCATCGATAGGCTGACCACCTTGGAGGCACGGCTCACCACTCCAGGGACCGCCACCCCATCCTCCGCGGGTCTCACAGGTCCGTCGTGACCAGCTCAAAAACATGTGGGCCAAGGTGGATGCTGAATTTGAGGCATGTTCGCTGGCAATGCTGTGCGAGGCCCCTGAAGACCAAGAGGAAATTCAGAAAATGTATGGCGAGTGCTATGAGGGCTATGAGCGGTGCGTGGCGGACCTCATAGCCCAAATAGACCGCCCAGACCTCCGACCTCCCGGGCCGCAGACCTCCCAGGGCGGTTGTCGGCTGCCCCCCTGTGACATTGAAGTTTTCGCAGGGGATTACGTTCGCTGGCCGACGTTCCGCGACCTATTCACAGCGATTTATATAAACAATCCGAGGCTGTCCCCGGTGGAAAAGCTGTACCACCTCACTACTAAAACCCGTGGCGATCCGAAAGCCATAGTAGAAAAGTCCCCACTTACCAATGACGGTTTCGAGGCAGCATGGTCAGCCCTCCGTAGTCGATATGAAAATAATCGACTCCTGGTGACCAACCAGATAAATATCCTGCTATTGCTGCCTCGCGTGGGTTCCGAGACTAGTCGTGCCTTGAAAGAGCTTCAGAGCACCATTCAAGGTGTTCTAACTGCTCTGGCCCACTCCAAGGTCTGCACAGACAATTGGGATAGTATTCTGGTGACCATCTGTGCATCCAAGCTGCCAAAACTGACCCGGGCTCTGTGGGAAGCGTCAGTGACTGACAAGAAGGAAATGCCTCCATGGACGGAAATCGACTCCTTCCTGACACAGCGGTACCTGACGCTAGAGGCCATGGAGAGCGACCCTTCCCAGGCTAGAAGCGATCCGCATCAGCAACCGTCCAAAGGCAGTCAAAATCCGCAATCCTCCGGAAGCCACGCCAACCCATTCCGGTCTCAAGGCAGTCCTCCTCCGAGGAACTTTCACTCCTTCAAGACCCACATTAATCCGAAGCAGTGCGATCTCTGCTCCAAAGAGAATCATCCGGTCCGGCTCTGCCCGCACTTCCTCCAAATGGACGTTGAAGCACGTTCAAGCTGCATCAAGACGAAGCAGTTGTGCTTAAACTGTTTTGCCCGAGGTCACCAGCTCCGAGAGTGCACCAGCGCCCACAATTGTTTCACGTGTGGAGCCCGTCACCATACACTGCTGCATCGCGGTACTCCTGCCTCCAGTGAGTCGTCCACATCCGCGCAAATTTCCAATTCGTCCGACGCTCAGCCCACCGTGCAAAATTATTTCACCTCGGGCACCAGGCCCGTTCTTCTAGGCACGGCAATAATTAACATTTGCCACCTGGGGACAAATTTCCGCGCCCGCGCTCTAATCGACTCGGGCTCCGAGGCTACGTTCATTACGGAACGGCTTTTTAACATCATCAAACTACCATTCCGCCTTATTCAGGCACAAGTCTCAGGCCTGAGTCAGTCGGTAGCAGCTCAGTCCAAGAAGCTCTGCCACTTTTCCATTCGTTCCCCGACTAAGCCGGGCTTGCAGTTGAAAGCCGCGGCTTACGTATTGCCGGAACTAGCAGGCAATCTCCCGTCATATCCAATTCCGCTAAGTGCGTTGCGAGATTTGCCGAACCTGCCATTAGCTGATCCCACCTTCTATGAGAGCTCGCAGATAGATGTCCTGATCGGAGCCGATATCCTTCCCTCCATCCTTCTGAGCGGTTCACAGACCGACATTTGTGGCTCTCTCCTTGGGCAGGAAACGATTTTCGGGTGGTTGCTTACTGGTCCGGTGCCCAGTGCCCCCCCGAACCGAATCGCATCTTTCTCCACACAAGTGTCCAACGTCCTCGATGCTCCATTAGACAAGCTCCTCACAAAGTTTTGGGAGGTGGAGGATCTACCAACCAAGTTAGTAGGAGAGTCCGATTCCTATTGCGAAAGCAACTTCCTACAAACCACCACGAGGGCAACAAGCGGAAAATACATGGTAACCCTACCATTCCGCGACCCGGGTCATCTCGGGTCTGGCCTAGGGTATTCAAGGTCCATCGCACTAGCCCAGTTCTTAAGGAACGAGAATCGGCTGAAGAGAGATTCGCCGTTGCACGAACAGTACGTTTCCGTAATCCAAGAATACTCAGATCTGGGCCACATGACAGAGGTCCCTCCGAGCCACGACTCCAACAACTACTATCTCCCTCACCACGCAGTAATCAAACCCGATAGCACTACAACGAAGCTTCGTGTGGTGTTTAACGCATCCAGCCCATCCGCGAACGGAACGAGCTTGAATGACCTCCTTCACGCGGGCCCGGTCCTACAATCCGATTTGACCCTTCAGATTCTGAAATGGCGCTACTTCCGATATGCGTTCAACGCCGACATCACCAAAATGTACCGTCAGATTTGGGTGGATCCAGAACACACTCGTTTCCAGAGAATCTTGTTTCGAAACGCAGAGGGGGAAATTCGTGATTACGAATTGAAAACCGTCACCTTTGGCGTCAACTGCGCCCCCTTTCTCGCCATTCGAGTCCTTCAACAGCTTTCCAACGACGTCCAATCGCAATTCCCCAGGGCTAGTCATATCATTCGGCACTTTATGTACGTCGACGATGTCCTCGCCGGCGCTGACTCCACACAGGAGGCTCAGCTAGCCATCCGCGAATTACAGGCCGCCCTCAGTTCGGCAGGTTTTCCGCTACGAAAGTGGACAGCCAACCACAAGGACGTATTGGCCGAGATTCCGAGTGACCACCTCCTCCACACTGATTTCCTGGAGATTGACGCACAGAGCACGGCAAAGACCCTCGGCATTCGCTGGAAAGCGACCTCCGACGAGTTCTTCTTTGTTCCTCCGGTGCTCTCGCTTGAGTCATCCTACACCAAGCGAGAAGTCCTCTCGCAGATAGCGAAACTGTTTGATCCTGCAGGGTGGCTGGCACCGTTCATCGTCCGCTCCAAGATCTTCATGCAGGAAATTTGGTTGCAGGAACTGGAGTGGGACGAGAACCTTCCCAACGAACTGTGTCAATACTGGCAAGCCTTCCTGCGTAGCTACTCCTGTCTCACCAAGATCCGTATCCCAAGGTGGATTGGTTCCCAGCCATCCGTTAAGGTGGAGCACCATGGGTTCTGTGATGCCTCAGAAAAGGCTTACGGCGCCGCGATTTATGTTCGCGTTGAGATGGGCCAGCGTATCGACGTGCATCTACTGGCAGCGAAGACACGAGTTGCGCCCGTAAAAACCGTATCGCTTCCCCGGTTAGAGCTGTGCGGGGCCGTGCTTCTAGCCGAAATGGCGACGGCTATCCTGCCAAGTATGCCGACGACAGGGTCTACCTGTTACTACTGGACAGATTCCACAATCGTTCTCGCCTGGTTGAACAAGCCTGCATGCCATTGGACCACCTTCGTGGCCAATCGAGTAACGAAAATCGCTCAAACCACCGAGACCCAAAAGTGGTCTCATGTGCGCTCCGAGCACAACCCGGCGGATTTAGCCAGTCGGGGGGTTCCTCTACAGGATCTGGTTGACAACCATCTCTGGTGGCATGGGCCCTCATGGTTACAGCAACCACGCTCTCAATGGCCGCTCCAAGATCAGGAAACCCCCGTCATAGACCTCGAGCAGCGGGCTGTGAAAGTCCATTTCACAACCAGCCCACCCGAAGACTTCCTCGAGCGGTTCTCCACGCTTGAAAAAGCTCTACGAGTCCGCGCGTACGTCCTGCGTTTCCTACAGCGCTGCCGAAAACTACCGTACGCACAGGAGATCCATCCTACAAGCGGGGAAATTAACGAGGCTGAACGAACTCTTATCCTAGAAACTCAGCGCCGAGAATATTCTCAAGAGTATCACTCCTTACGTGAGAAGCGTCCAGTGCCTCGATCAAGTTCTATCCTGAATTTGAATCCGTTTATGGATCAACATGGGGTCATACGCTCCTGCGGCCGTGTATCTACGGCGCAAGGGCTGAAGTATGACGAGCGACATCCCATAATTCTTCCGTATAACTGTCGTTTGTCGCGACTCCTCACGCAGTTCACACACCGGATCACTCTTCACGGGGGCAGCCAATTGATGGTGCGACTTATCCGATCCAAGTATTGGATTCCACGGATTCAGAAGCTGATGAAGGGTGTCGTGAACTCTTGCAAAGTGTGCCTTATCCACAAAAGGAAGTTGCAAACTCAACTGATGGGGGATCTCCCCAGGGAGCGAACTTCATTCTCCCGACCGTTCACGCACACCGGAATTGACTACGCCGGTCCCTTCGAAATCCGCAACTACACAGGGCGGGCGTGCCTTATTACCAAGGGGTATGTGTGCGTGTTCGTGTGTTTCTCCACGAAGGCTATTCATTTGGAGCCTACGTCCGACCTCACCACCGAGAAATTTCTCGCTGCCTTCGCGCGGTTCGTCGCGAGACGAGGCTGTCCACAGAGTATCCACTCCGATAACGGCAAGACCTTTGTGGGCGCAGCCACAGTACTGGCCCGTGATTTCCTAGAAGCATTTAAGGACTCTGTGATTGATGCGTACAGTCACCAAAGGGTCTCGTGGAAATTCATCCCACCAGGGGCCCCACATATGGGGGGACTTTGGGAGGCCGGAGTGAAGAGCTTCAAAACCCTGTTCTATAAGGCCACGTCCACTCGTAGATACACCTTCGAGGAGCTCTCCACGCTTCTCTCGAAAATAGAGGCGTGCCTTAATTCCAGACCGCTCTCGCCTATGTCCGAAGATCCGACGGAGTTACTGGCCCTAACTCCCGGGCATTTCCTTACGGGGGGGACCCTTAATGGCGACGGCGGAGCCAGAAGTTAAGGGTGACCTCACCTCGATCATAAATCGATGGCAACATCTGAAGGCACTCAACCAACAGTTCTGTCGTAGGTGAAAAGAGGAATACCTTAAGGAACTCCACAAGCGGACCAAATGGCAAATGGCCCAATCTGCAGATTGGTGATATGGTCGTCGTCAAGGAAGACAACTTGCCGTCTAATGAATGGCGTCTCGGACGAATCCATTCCGTGTACCCCGGCGCCGACGATCGGGTCCGTGTAGTCGACATCCTCACTGCACGGGGGGTCCTCAAAAGGCCCGTCGCAAAGGTCGTTCTTCTGTCCGTAGAACCTCCTCGCTCCATCCAACATTAACGAAGAGCGTGCGCGTCCCCCGCTTCCTATCCCGTTACTAACCCGTCTCCTATTCTTTGTCTTCTTCTTTCGCCATAGTTTCCGTATTTAGAGATGGCTCCACGGTCTCGTAACACCCGCACTTCGGAGAGTAGACGTTCTCGAGGTAGTAACTCCTACCGTTGCCGAGTCTGCTCCGGAAGCCATCCGCTCCGTGCCTGCCGACGCTTTCTTCGCCTGGACGCCGAGAAGAGACTCCGAGCCGTCTTGATTAACAAGTACTGCGCTAATTGCCTGGCTCATCGGCACTCTGGCAGAGACTGCCGCAGTACCAAGGGCTGCAAAGTGTGCGGTGGGAACCACCATACGCTACTCCACAACCGTGCGTCCCAGCGTTCAGGCCGCGCTTCCGGACCATCCCCTCCGGCGGCTCCAGCCTCTAGCGTTGAACGACGCCGTCGTCTCCCCGAAAGCCGCCCCGTCGTGGAAGATCCGGCACCATCCGTGGCTACGCTCCTCCAGAACCGGAGCATCAACGTTCTCCCGACGGCCCTGGTGGTCTTAGATACGGGTTCCAGAACTTGTGAGACAGTGGCTCTTATAGACCCCTGTACCCCAGTGAGCAGCATCGACGAGTCATTGGCCATCGCCTTCAAACTGCCCTCCACGCGGGTTGGCACCGAGAAGGTGTGCACTGCGACTGTCCGCGCCAAGAATGGAAACTTCCAAGTGGACGCAGTGCTGAAGGTCGAGCCCCGCCTGCGCGTCCGCACGCCACTACGCCTCGTGACCGAGGCGGTGCGAACCCGTTTCGACGACATTCGCCTCGCCAACGAGCGCTTCCATCGCCCATCCACTGTCTCCCTCGTGCTCGGCGCCGACGTTTACCAGAAGGTGATTCAACCCGGGTTCCTCGCCCTAGGAGAAGGTCTTCCCGTGGCCCAAAGCACCGTATTCGGATGGATTGTTTCTGGGGCGTGCACTCAGCCATAGAGGTTCTCCATTGCAGTCCTGCAAGGGGGGGGAGGATGTTGAGAGTAGCAGCAGCGAGTTGGCAGGGGGCTGTTGTTAACAGCCGGAGCGCGCTCTCTCTTGCCTGGCGCTAGCGAGTTGGCGGGCAGCCAGCTCACTAAGCGGGAGTTTAGTATGCTACCCACCCCCGTACATTCCGGTACGCGTCGATACATATCATCGTTTTATATTCACACCCACATACATACACACATATAATCAAACAACCGCGCCGTTTCGAGTGCCCAATAAACCAATTTGTTAACGATCATACTGTGCCTATTCATTGCGGGACACTGTGGATCTGCTGATTTCGCACAGGAGGAACCCCCCTACAAAAACAAACTTACACGGAAGACCTCGCTCACCGCTTACAGATCCGTAGAGAGGAGTCGTGTATTACCTTGCTTGGTATTGGTGAATCCAATTCTTAAGTAAAGAATAAAATACACACTGTGGTAAAGTCGCGCATAAATGGTAGTGAGTTTTCCTTTGATTTTTGATCCCCGAAAACCCTCCCGGGGTCATCCCCCCCACCAGTCCGTTAATGTAACTGATTCGAAAATCCCAGAGAACCTAAAAAACCCAATTTCTACAACCCACAAAAAAAAACACATGCTGCTTGGAGCTGAGAGCTTATAAAAAGTTCCCATTAAATTTTGGGGGTTTTGGAAAAAATTCAAAAGCTGCCCCCCAAACTGCAAGCAGTTTTAGTTGCAGTGATGAGTTGTTAGTTTCCATTGATAGGACCTTGCAAAAATTCTGGTCACTGGAATAAATGCCATCTCCAAAGCAAATTATTTCACCTGAGCACACAGGTGGTCTTCTTCAGGTGGCCTTGAATGAGATTCTGATGGTCGGACCGACCATTCAAGAGGAATTATACCCAACGCTGCTCCGCTTCCGTCTGCACAGGTTCACCCTGACTGCCGATGTAAAAAAGATGTATCGCCAAGTGATGGTGAATGAAGCGGATAGGCAGTTTCAGATGATAGTGTGGAGAAGAGACCCATCTGAGTCCTTGAGTTTATACAAGCTTAACACCGTAACTTATGGGACTGGCTATCCGGTGTTTAAAAAGGTTGAGTGAGTCTGTGAAGCTATCATTTCCCTAAAGCTGCTGACGTTATTGGGTCCGACTTTTACGTTGATGACATGTTGACTGGTGCTGCATGCGTAGAGGAGCTAGGGACAACTAAGTCTGAAGTATCTCAGGTTCTTCAGACCGCAGGGTTTGAGTTAGCGAAGTGGTTTTCGAACTCACCTGAAATCACCGCATCTGAGAGCACAGCAAAGCCCATAACGATCTCGGATTCAGAATCGACTAAGGCGTTAGGAATCTCATGGTTGCCTGAGGAAGATGCCTTTCAGTTTGAAATTGATAATGAAGTCATGGGTGTCCGAGCGACAAAACGGAACATACTGTCGGTGACATCGAAGCTGTTCGACCCCCTTGGATTGTTAAGTCCTATCGTCATAAAGGGCAAGATCCTATTGCAGGAACTTTGGCTTAACAAACTAGATTGAGATGAGTCGATTCCGCTGCATTTGGAAACAGCATGGAATATGTTGAAAAATACACTGTCTTAATTGGAAGAGATATCCATACCTCGGTTTGTGTATTGCGATCCGATGTCAACGGTCCAGATACATGCCTTCGCTGACGCCTCCATGAGAGCTTATGGCGCGTGCGTCTATATCCATAGCAGAACTGCAGAAGGTTTAAAAATTATAATGTTTGATTTCAAAGTCCAAAGTAGCGCCGCTCAAGACCAAAACGCTCCCACGGCTTGAGTTATGTGCCGCTCACCTTCTCGCGGATCTCTGTCACAGAATCAAATCTTATTAACGGTTCCTATCGAACGAGCTGTTTATTGGTCAGACTCTGAAGTAACTCTTCACTGGATTCAGTCGCATCCATCTACGTTGTCGACGCTCGTTTCAAATAGGGGTGGCTGAGATTCAGGAGTGGTCAGATAAAGCTACGTGGCGGCATGTCCCTACAAAACAGAATCCAGCAGATATTGTATCAAGAGGTTGTTATGTTAAAGAAATCGTCCAGTCAATCTGGTTTGAAGGCCCATCATTTCTGAAGGATGAAAAAGAGAACTGGCCAAAGAGCTCTCATTTCGAGCCTTCAGAATATGTTGAGCTGGAGAAGAGGAAGAACGCGGTCGCGCTGACTGCTGCGGTGGTAATGTCGGATTTGGTGGATGTCATCGAGGGAATCTCGTCACACCTCAAGCTGCTTAGAGTATTTTGTTATATGTTCCGCTTTATAAGAAAATGTAAGAACCCGAGCATAACGTTTGAAAAAACGGTCTCACTGACCGAGTATGATGAAACCTTTCGCAAAGTTGTTGAAATTGTCAAACATCACGAGTATCGTGAGGAAATCGAGAAAGTTCGCAAAGGATCTAGAGTTGGTCCTAGTCTTCAGCGGTTGAACCCATTTATCCATGAAGACAGAGTAGGGTGGCGACTAGCTAAAGCTCCTATATCATACGATGCCAAGTTTCCGTTGCTTTTGACGAAGCGCTCGCAATTCGTGCGGAGCTATGTTCGTCATCTGCACCAAACCAAATTTCATGTCGGCCCACGAGCACTTGTGAGCATCCTTCGACAGAGTGTTTGGATCGTAAACGCTCAGGAGGTCTGCAGTCAGACAGTTCGATCGTGTATCCGCTGCTTTAAATGCAAGCCTCGACTGCTGACGCAACTTATGGGAAATTTACCCGCAGACCGGCTCCGTGCTCTCCGCCCATTTTCAATTTGCGGCGTTGATTTTTGTGGACCCGTCTCGACGACATTGAAAATTCGAGGAAGGCCCCCAACCAAGTCCTATATCGCGCTTTTTGTTTGTTTTGCGTCCAAAGCGATTCACTTAGAACTTGTATCAGACCTGACTACTGACTCTTTTTTATTGGCTTTCCAAAGTTTCGTTGGGCGCCGAGGATATCCCCAGATCGTCCATTGCGACAACGCGACGAATTTCATCGGAGCGAGCCGCCACCTCAGCGCTCTGCAGAAGGCGCTCGAGGACGGGGCGGACGCAGTTCGCGGATTCGCATCAAAAAACGGATGCGAATTTGCGTTCATACCGCCTCGAGCGCCGCACATGGAGGATCTGGGAGGCAGGTGTCAAGTCTGCGAAGAGACTACTCCTACGGGCGGTCGCTACAGTCCTCGTCGGGATCGAGGCCGTCCTGAACTCCAGGCCGCTGGGAGCCCTCAGCCTCAGGCGTTTTTCGGCGGGCCATCCACAAGTTGGCGCCGCTACCATATTGTTGAACCCGCGCAGGCCTTCAACGGGGCCGGTGTTTCGTCATGTCATCGTCTTAGTCAATGTTTTATGTTAAGATTATTTTTGAATTCTTTAAAGTCTTGTGTAAGTAGGTTACGGCAAGGCGGGAGCGCAATAAAAGCTCGCTCTTTCGCTCAAGGCAAATTCGCCCGCTTTGCCACCGTAGGTTAGCTAGGCTTAGAACGATTTGTATGAAGAAAGAGAATATAATCGTTAATTGAAATTTCGATCGAGCGCACACAGAATTAATTTTCGTCCCGCCTTTGAATAAACCTTTAAACGCCACCAAATTAATTTTCCGGTTTTTTTTGTCAATTAGAAAAACTATTCTCATTTTTCAATAATCTTGACACAAAACATTGACGTCGACGACGACAAGACTACATCATAAGCTACGACTACATAAATCATAAGCTCACATATTTATATACTGACTAAGTTCGGGTATAAAAGTAGAGTCGCGGCAACAGAAGTGACCCACAACGTTCTTTCTCGTTTTGTGAGTAGTTGAAGATACTTTTCGATCATTGGCATGGGACTGTGCAGTTTACATATCATTAAAGTAACTCTTGGAAAATAATTAAAAACACAGCAAGCGGTTTTTAAATTTCCGTTTAAAGAAATTTTCCCCAAACAACAGAAAATTGCAAAAGAAAATTTTGTTATAAAAATGTCCTCACATGGACAGAGATCGGATGCAGAGGATTGGCGTCCTGGCCTGCCACCAAGCACGGCACTTAAAGTTCCGCAGCCAAGTCAGCACCGTGCCTGGATAAATACTGCATTAGAAGAAAGACTAGCCACGGTCCGAGAACAGGATCTCACAAGTGTTCAGTTTCCAAAAAACGCTCCCGGTGCAAAATCAGCTTCGAAATCTATCCGGCTTAAGGTATCAGCCGGAGCAGAGAGCCAGACTACGCTGAAAGCGGAGAAACGCGGCTTATTCGGACGAAAGAAGGTTGCAATAGGTGCGAATCCAAAAAAGTCAACAGTTATGAATGGATTAGGACGCGAGAATACCGTCCCACAACATCTAAAAGTGAAGACATCGCGTATTCTCTATACAACTGACGAGGAGGTGCGCGATGCTCTTATGGAGTTTGGAATTTTTATCATCTTCCTAGTCCTTACATCTCTAGGTGAGTTCCGAGCCCAATTAAACTAAAATGAAACATGACGGATCGAGGCAATATTTTGTCATAACTGAATTTTCGCTTTATACTGTAATCTTGATCGAATCACAACCTGATTCTGCAATCTGGTCGGTAAGCTTATTATATATTTAACTTTGAGGGAGCGAAACAATTTTGACAATGATTCACATACGTCCATTATTCGATTTGCTGATGACTTTGCCATCATCTCAACAGGCAACAACATAAATGATGCTAGCAAAAACTTACAGGTAAAGATCAACGACTTTCACCTTCTCTGTCAAGATCTAGGCCTTAATTTCAACCCCAGAAAATCCTCAGCTATGTTTTGCAGTAGGGGAAGACGTGATAACATCGCAGTTACATGCAATAATATCACTTTCCCAATAAAGGAGTCAATTACCTTCTTAGGCAGGGTCATTAGTGCCAACATGTCAGACAAATTGCACATTGCAAAAATCAGGGACAAATCAGACAAAAGTGAGCTTTTGTTGCATGCTGTATCTACCATCAAAGCGGGACTCAAACCCAAGGTTTCGTCCAACATCTTCAAATCCTTCATCAGATCTCAGCAGGAACATGCCATTACTAGTTTTTCGAATCTAAACATTAGCAACAGCAAGTCTCTTAACACTGCACAGACGGACTGTCTTCGCCGTTGCGTGGGTGTGCCTCCCAAAACATCTACGCATCTGATTTTTGCTCTGGCCGGTATTTTACCTCAGAGCTAAAATTCTCACAGTCAGAGAACTACTGAAAGTAAAGTCTCTAAGCCCGACCTTGTATAATGATGTTATTAAATCCACTGCAAAGACTGCCTACACAGCTGTGTACCAAGAATATAGTGATCTTTTCGACAAGAAGTACAAACATAGTCCCAAAGCCTTAATTTGTCTGTCGCATTCAATGCGATAAGCTAAGCTTGAAGAATGGGTGTCAGGTGGATGGAACATTCTTTCCACTGATGCATCCATCAATGGTGATAAGACAGGCATAGGTATCCCTAGTCACTTTAGCTATATGTTTAGGACTGAAAATAGTTCCTCATCTGTGTTTGCAGAGCTTTTAGGTATATAAACGGCAGTTAAGATATCAAATATAAAAAGTTACAGTAAAACTGTAATTCTCTGCGATAGTCAAGGCGCCTTAAAGGCTCTGAAGAAAAATGAATCAAATTCATACTTAACAGACGAAATCCACCTCAATATGGACAATTCCTTCACGAGCAACTTTATTGTGCACTGGACACCCGGTCACAAGAATATTGCCATTAATGAAAAGACTGATATACTAGCCAAATCAGCCACTAATGTAGGCAATAATAAAAGTTAAAATAAAAGTTCAGACGGATTGGATCAATGAGTACAAGGAAATATCAAAAACCAAAGGAATTTATTTTGCGTCAATTTACAATGAAATTCCAGTCAAACTCGACTGGAGTGCAAAAAACATAAAGGTCATAAATAGACTGTTAAATAATCGAACCTATGATAACGTTTTTTTACACAAAATCAAAGCCAGAAACACCAACATTTGCGAAGTTTGCAACGTTCTCGACAATGCGGAACATGAGAGCCTCTTTTTTTTAGAGAATTGGCCAAATTTATTAATGAGGCTAGTTTGCAGTTGTGAACCGAAACACACTGGATTTTGTTCAGGTCGGGTTAACTCGGTGCCAACGGAAGTCACCTTGAGGAGCAACCTTCTGTTGTTCCTACTTTCTGAGGCAACCTTCTGTTGCCTTACACACCTACACATACACATCAACCCATTTCACTACTATATATTTTGTTAAACTCTTACACACGACCACACTTTAAACTAAGCATCATATTGTTTAAATTATAAGAATATACCAATGCAACACCATGCATGGTCTCATTAACAACCATCGATAGACAAGCAATTCTCGCTGCTGTGGCCGCGACTCAACTTTTATTACCGTACTTTGCTACATCTATAATCTAAATAAACACTGTATATTGCACATCTACAATGTAGATTCCACATCTTTCCCGCGAAATATCGCGCACTGCACAGTGCTGAGTGTGTGAAAGCGAGAAGAATAAGTAGCGTCTGTAGCGCTTATAGGGCGAGCTTAGCAACAGAAAATTAAATTCTTCATTCTGTGATAGTCCGATCTGTACCAGATTCAGAAATCTGGTAGATATGGGCATTCTCTCCAATATTGCGTTTTTAGTTTTTTATTGTGGATACCACAGATTTTCGTTCTTTGTGGTGGCGGCTGGTGGGTAGGGCGAATTTTTGAAGTAAACTTGTAACAGTGTGATATCACATGAGTCTGGAATCCAAATTTGGTTGCTCTAGCTCTTATAGTCTCTGAAAACTACGCGTTCATAACGACGGACGGACAGACAGATATGGCCATATCGACTCGGCTGTTGATGCGAATTAAGAATATATATTCTTTATGGTAGTGCTCCTCCACCTGAATCTGACCTGTGTGTTGGTCCGTCTCTCTTAATATTTTTGTAGCGTTCTAAGAGTGACAGACACGTTCTCAATTCTGTCGTTCCACAGCCCGACGCCGGCATGGATCTTATCGCGGCTTGGCTGTCCACGAACAGGTTGGCTACGTCGTGTGGACGATCTGTAGACTGAGCAGACTTTGCCGCTTTCCGAATGACAAATGGAATATGCTGCATTGGCCCGGTAGCTTATAGAACAGCCTTATACCAGGGTCTGTACAGTATGTGGCCGCTCCTATTTCTCCTTCCATCTTGGACTCCGACTAGGCGTTTTGCTGCCTTCCTGCAATCAGTTGAGCGTGGATGTCCAGGTTGTCAATTCCGAGTAGGGAAGGGAGGGTATCGTCAAGCAAATATCGATATTGATATAAATCAAAATATCAATTAGAATATCATATCGAAGATGTCATATCGTAATGAATATCGTACTATCGCTTTGAATATCAATAACAGTAATATTAACGAACTATATATTTTTGCAGTTATAGGCCTGTCTCCAGCACCTGCGAAAATTCCTGCCAGGAATTTGCTATTTATTCCGTGAAGGTGTGGAACATAACTAAAACAGGGTTGACGAATCACCTGTGTTTTACAAACAGTGCCAATTGTAAAATTCGAATAAAATTAAAACTAAACTATACGGGGGTTCCACAGAAATCTCTAAAGATTTTGACTCGAGACATTTGTCAAATCAACCGAAAAATCCGTAGGTACCACAGGATATCTAGCGATTTCATTTTTCGGACACTTTTTTCGGAGTTCACGCGCAACCATGAGAATTGTAGCTCAGAGTTGAAGTGTTTCAAAAATAATTTTGTGTAATGCTGCTCTTTGTTTATTTGATTGCTTTTCATTAGGGATCTGAGAAGGAATGTTTTGTATAAAGTTACCCAAAACAACTTTTGCATTTGGCAACTCTTCGCTCATAATCTTTGAGCATTTTCTGAACAACAAAATTTAAATTTTTTGCCCGCTAAATTTAAGTGTTGAATGAAAACCCTCACAAAGTTTTTATACCCGTACTCAAAAAAGAGTTAAGGGGTATATTAGATTTGTGGTAAAAGTGGATGTGTGCAACGCAGAGAAGGAAACGTTTCCGACCCCATAAAGTATATATATTCTTGATCAGCATCAATAGCCGAGTCGATATAGCCATGTCCGTCTGTCCGTCTGTCCGTCCGTCCGTCTGTCCGTCTCGATGAACGCCTGGATCTCAGAGACTATAAGAGCCAGAGACACCAGACACATGTGATATCACAATGCTACAAGTGTATTTCAAAATTTCGCCCCGCCCCCTTCCGCCGCCACAAAGGACGAAAATCTGTGGCAGGCACATTTTTAAAGATACGATAAAACTAAAAACGCAGTATCGTAGAGAATGCCCATATCTACCAGACTGCCGAATCTGAACTAGATCGGATCATAATTATAGCCAGAATGAAGAAATTAATTTTCTGTTGGTTCCCTCTCCTTCTCCAGCGCTATTGACGCTACTGATTCTCTTTCTCGCTCGCACACCCTGCCGCGTTCAGTGCGCGAGCAACCCCTAGCGAAGGAGATGTAGAATCTAAATGGTACATGTACAATCTACATGTTAGATGTAGAATAGACATTTTATATGTAGATGTAGATAGCAGATGTAGCAAAAAAATGTAAAATGTAAAATTTTTTTTTTTTTAATTTCTAAAAAATCATAAGCTCAAAAATGTATATACTGACTGAGTACGGGTATAAGTAGAGTCGCGTCCCCAGAAGCGACTCACACGTTCCTTCTCGTTCTAAATCAAATTGTTCTTGAGTTTCTATGTTGCAATTTTTAAGGTTAGCTAGAAACTTCCAGGCTTCCCTAGTATTGCCTTCACATTGAGCTCTGTTAGTGACTGTGGTGGTGACTGCCTCCCAGAAACAGTTTCTCACAATTCCAATTCTGAACTTTAATACCCTTTACAAAGGTGAGGTCCAAGACGGACCCTGCAATTGATTCTATATTTCTCCTAAACGTAGGACATCGATCGTTTACCAGAGCATATCCTGCATTGTTCATCGCTTGCTTTAAAAAAGCCCCTTTTCTACTGTTTATTGTGTCACCAAAACCTATGTGTCTAGCGTTAAAATCCCCTGCCACAATTGCATTTTCAAAGGGGTCTAATTTTTCCAGAAGGTTATTTATAGCTTGCTTAAAGGTTTCAATCGATGTTGTTGGTTCAAAATATATGGAAGCGATAAAAAGATTTAGTTTATTATGGGTAGTGCTTGCAATAACAATGTCCTGATCAGATTCATAGGTTATCTTTTTCATTTTAAGATCGTTTCTGTAAGCGATCGCTACGCCTCCATAGCCATCATCTCTGTATTTTTCTATTAATTTGAAATTTGCTAATTTCCTGAAGCTAGGATCGTGAGAAAAAACTTCAGCCAGAATGGCAATACTGAACTCTCCGTTATTTAAAAAAAATTCGAGATCATTTTTTTTTTGTTTGCTTTAATCGATTGAAT